GTCCTCTACATTTTCCTTCACCACCAGCTCTTTCGAGTCTTTCGAGGGAGTATGACACTTTTCTTTCGCCCCATTCACACTTTCACTCTGCAATGTCGATATACAAAATGTGTTTAAAAACAGACCACAAAGGTTCGGAAGCAAAGGATACAATGGTTAAAAACTCTACACACAAGCCTATTTTGTCCTCTTCTTAACATGTTGCATAGTGATTCTGGTACTAACCCCGGGTTTTTCTGGATTTGCTGAAGTACTACCCATCATCTTCTCCAGATCTCCCACATTCTTCTCCAAAGCTCCCACCCTAGACCCCACCAACTGTATCTCCCTAAGGCACCTATCAAACCCATCCTTCATGGCATCAGATATGTCCTTCAAGGCTTTTTGAAGATACTTTTTCGTAAAAGTCTCAGCTTCAACATGCGACTCTTTACGAGCTTTCTTCCAAGGTCTGCTACTCTCCTCCTTCACACCACTCTCCTCCTTCACACTACTATCCTCTTTCACACAACTCTCAATCTTCACACCACTCTCAAGCTTCACACCAACCTTCTTCACACCACTCTCAAGCTTCACACCAACCTTCTGAGTACTGGTGACTTGCCAGCAGTCCATGGTCCACTTCCATCCAGGAACAAACATGGCTTTAATTATGTTGACCGCGGCAGGGTCATCTCTGTCTCCGTCCCATTTTGGAAACATGTCTTCAAGGTCCTTTCGAACAAAGTTTTTCACGTCTCTCTGCAGTAAATAAAACATATAAACTTAGGTATTTGACGGATTGGGATGTACGACTCAAAGTTAAGTCGTCTGATAAGTTTTTTGTTAGACGACTTTCAGACGACTTAGAATCAGACGACTTAACTTTAAGTGTCTGAAAGTCGTCCGGGAGTGATTGTTGAACGACTTTCAGACGACTTAACTTTAAGTCGTCTGTGAAGTCTTTTTCTGGACGACTTTCAGACGACTTAACTTTAAGTCGTTTGAAAGTCGTCCAGGACGTCCGGGAGTGAAGTTAAGTACCTGTCTGCAGATGGCGTCCTTGAAACATCTGCGTTTTCTTAGGCCACCCTTGTAAGCAAGCAACGGTATAGACGGTTTGCTTGACACAGGAGAGCCATAATTGGCACCCAATTTTGGCATAGCTTCGAACGCCCACACCTGGAGAACCTGTACAAACCCATCAACGGTGTAACCTGTTTGCGTCAAGTCTTTTGCCTTCAAAGAATCCATTAGAACCTTGAACGCCACTCTTCCCCATGGGTAATTCTCAAATCTTTCCAAGTCCATGACTAGCCTTGCAAGACTAGCCCGTGTAGGAGAAGAGAACTTTCTGGCTTCAATGTATCCNCCATTAGAACCTTGAACGCCACTCTTCCCCATGGGTAATTCTCAAATCTTTCCAAGTCCATGACTAGCCTTGCAAGACTAGCCCGTGTAGGAGAAGAGAACTTTCTGGCTTCAATGTATCCTGCGTAGATGGCAAGGTATCCCAGCCGCATTCGATCATCCCGAGACCACCCGTCACACTTGGTAAATGTTGTTCTTAATTGTTCAATGCTTGGCCCAGCATGGGGATCAACACCCATCTTCTCCCAGAAAGCAGTCATCTCCTGAGAAATCTCACACCTTGGATTTTCCAAATTCGGGATGTAGTCGCAGTTCAGACCTGTGAGGTTTTCAAACTCTAGAATTGAAAACCTCAAAGGTTCTGGTCCGACAAGAGTCCAAAGCTCAAACTTCTTCTTGATGTCCAGCTGGAAGGAGAGAATAAAATGTACAAGCCTTGAAGTCCAAACAAAGCCAAGCTCCTTGAACTTGATGAATATTCCCAACTTTGACGCTTTCAGATCCTCATATTCATCAGGTCTGAGATTTTCAGATAGAGCTTCAAACAACTTCTTGTCATCAGAATGATACGAAATGTTCCTCAGTGCAGGGGGCTCTTCTCCTAATGTAAACAACCTCGGCGGCAGTTCTGATATATCTATTTTAAGGCCTGCAAACAATCACAAACAACCATCTCAACCACAAAGGTAGCGCACTATTCTAAATACTATAGAAGACTAGCAGACGACTTCCAGGAAGTGAGATAACTACTCAGACGACTTCCTGGAAGTCTTCTACAAAGTCTTACTCTCTGGACGACTTACATGTAAGTCGTCCAGAGAGTAAGACTTCGTAGAAGGCTTCCAAGAAGTGAGAAGACTACTCAGATGACTTCCTGGAAGTCTTCTACAGAGTCTTACTCTCTGGACGACTTACATGTAAGTCGTCCAGAGAGTAAGACTTCGTAGAAGGCTTCCAGGAAGTGAGAAGACTACTCAGACGACTTCCTGGAAGTCTTCTACAGATTCTTACTCTCTGGACGACTTACATGTAAGTCGTCCAGAGAGTAAGACTTCGTAGAAGGCTTCCAGGAAGTGAGAAGACTACTCAGACGACTTCGTGGAAGTCTTCTACAGAGTCTTACTCTCTGGACGACTTACATGTAAGTCGTCCAAAGAGTAAGACTTCGTAGAAGGCTTCCAGGAAGTGAGAATACTACTCAGACGACTTCCTGGAAGTCTTCTACAGAGTCTTAATCTCTGGACGACTTACATGTAAGTCGTCCAGAGAGTAAGACTCTGTAGAAGACTTCCAGGAAGTGAGAAGACTACTATGACGACTTACAGTCGGAGAAGATTTAGTCGGAGAAGATGTGGTCCCTAGCGGTTACAGATCTGCATATCGAAGGGAAAAGAAGAGTCAAGCTACAATTTTTAGGGTTTTCCGGCGGCTAAACGCCTTAAAACATAAGATATAACACACCGGCGGCGGAGGAAAGGGCTACGAGATTTCAGATCTGAAAAAAGGAAGCGGATGGTCAGTTTAAACTACGAAAATACTCTAAGGCATGAAAGAAAAACAAGATTCGTCGAAATCGGAGAGATTACCGGCGAAAACGGAGAGATTCGTCGAAATCGCCTTTACAATCGTCCTTGGAGAGAAACGGCGCTAGGGTTTCGGAAAATTGTGAAAAAGTGAAAAAAATAACTTTTATATGTCCGGTAAAAATCCGGTTAGGTTAAAACGTAAAATGTTAAAATTAACGGTTCGGTACAATTAG